GCACTTTCTTCTTCTTTTTTTTGCCCCCTGCCCCCAACTCCTTCTCCTCTCCAGGCTGTATTTTAGTCATGAATCTTCTATCCCATCAGATCTAGGTGATTTTTATGAATCCACTTTTACAGCCATGTTTAAATGTAAATTTATCCTCGTTAATTATTCATATTCATTTCAATGTTGTGTGGAAATTCCTGATCTACTTCCCTATTGTTTTTTCTCCTCAGATTACCAGAAACCCCTTCACTAGTTCTTCCATCTGTGTCATAACTGTTATTTACTGTACTATTCCATTTCTTTTTATTTTAAAGAAATTTCAGCTTTAATTCTTTTTAACTGAGTCAGAAAATCTCTGGTTCAGAAAGTCAACATAACCTGCGTTCTGTATTTGGGCCAGTAATAAGGTATTGTAACTTGTGATCTAGAAAAGGCAAATCCTGTTCCCTAACACCATTTACTTTCATCTCCTTTCCTCCCCCTTTTCCATAGATACAGCCTTCAACTGCAAGGAGAAATGAAAACACCACCTGTGTTCCCAGACCTTCTATTTCCTATCTAGGGCTTCCATATCACAAGAGATAAATCCCAGGTTCCTTCAGATGCTGAAATGCACCCCCATATGATTCAGCAGAAGTGGGGAGCAGTTGGGTTTGATTAGTCTTGGCAGGCGTTCTGTCAAATCTCAGGAAAAGGCTCCAGAAGGACCACATACCTCCCAATTAGCCATGTCAGATTTGCATATGGCTTTCTCTGTGTCCTTCAGTAGGAAGTCAGCACCACCCCCAGTGAGTATCAGGATTTCCAACACCTGTTACATTCTGTGACAACTTCTTTTTGTTCTGTCGATCAGAGGATGCTGCTTCTTTGGAAGATGTTGACTCACCTTTTATGGGCAGAAATTCAAGTCCCTGTATCACATGAGGGAACCATTATTATGCCCATTTTACCCATCAGGAAACTGAGGCTCTGAGATTTTAACTGGCCATCAGGGGTTATGCAGCGAAGAAACAACAGAGCTGAGAGACTTGAACCCTTATCTTCTAACCTCACCTGGTCCTCTCTTTCCATCATATTCTACTGCCAGAATAAAAGTAGAGGTGAACTCTAAGGGAAGTTTTCTGAGTATTGAAAATACGCCAGGCTGTATTTCATTTAATTTTCACAACAACCCTATTATGTAGGTTAACAATATTCTCATTTTGTTAATGCAGAAATTGAGATGAGCTAAGATTAAGTAACTGGAACGTCACGCAAGAAGTAAGCAGCTGGAGTAGCTGTTTTCAGAGTCTGATTTTCTTTCCTCTGGATCATACTACCTTTTCTCACTAAATTTAATTTCTGCTGTTTTCCTCAGAATCTTTCTTCATGACTTCTTTCTCGGATTATTCCCTCTGTCTTATGTAAGTGGAATGAAAAGAATATTTCTGGAAGAGTGAAGCAGGAAAGGGTTTGTGGAAGAGGGAGAAGAGCTGTGGTTCTCAAATTTCATAGGGCTTAAGTATAACATGGGATACTTCATAAAAGTGCAGGTTTCGGGGCTCCATCCTCAGAGATTGTCCCTAGATTCAGTATTTCTTGGGTGGGGCCCAAGAGTCTGCATTTTTCAAATCTCTCAAGTAATTTTGTGGCAAGTAGATCATAGACCTCACTTAGAAAAACACTAAGTAAAAGTTTCTTTTCTTACTCTTTTTAGACTGTGTTTTTTCTTCTTTTAACTCACCAACCTTGGTTACTCATTTAAGTCCACTTTGCTTCCTTGGAATTTATTGATTCCCTTTTTACCATCCCCCTCCCCCCATTCACTCTTAAAAGTCTTCATTTCTACTAAATAACAATGCATAGCAATGTTCTTCATACACTATTTCCTTACTCAGGAATACCAGCCAGTCCTTGTTTTACACATAATCAGGTTTAATCTTAAGTAAAAGAGTCCCTGGGTGGTGCAAACAGTTAAGTATTCAACTACTAGCCAAAAGGTTGGCAATTCGAACCCACCCAGAGGGGCCTGGGAAGACAGGCCTGGTGATCTGCTTCCAAAAGGTCACAGACTTGAAAACCCTATAGAGCACAGTTCTACTCTACACGCATGAGGTTGCCATGAGTTGGAAATGACTCAACAGCAACAACACCAACAACCTTATATAAAAGATGAATAGCACATACCCTGCAGACCAGTGGAAAGGTAACCACTGATAATGATCACATTATCAGGAATAGAATGAGCATTCTTTGATTCTTTCCCTTGAAACTCTTCCTGCCAGCTCTATCTGCCACACTATATGCCCCTGAACTTTCATTGTACTAATCTTCCTAGGACATGACCTTCAAATTGTGCTGGCTATTCCTTTCCCCTAATCCAGGAGGTATTCTGGTAATGTGTAATATTGAGGTATCAACCTAGCCACTTTCAGCAGACAGTGCAACATACGTAGTCAGCTAAAATGGATCAAAACTTCTACTTCTTTTGCAAGCCTACTTGTTTTGTTTTCTCTGCCACCAAAGCTATTCCAGCAGTTTATTCATATTCATCCACTAGTCAGTGCCTCAGCTCCTCACTCTTAGTTTCCTGCTCCCTCCAGTCCTCTAGGGATGGTGCTTCTGGCCTGATCCCAAAACAAACAAAAGGAATGAATCACTTCTACAATACAACTCATACGGCTCCTTGTGAAACCATTAAATTTAAAATACTTTGCTTGGTGTTCATAGCCCTGTATAGCCTGACCCTACTCTGCAAATTCAGAATTTATTTCTTATCCAACCTTAGTTTCAACTTATCGTTTCACTGAACCATTGTTTACTAGATTATAAAAACAAAACCAATTGCTGTCAAGTCGATTCCAACTCACATGTCAGTGTAGAACTGTGCTCCGTAAGGTTTTCAACGGCTGATTTTTCAGAAGGAAGTCTTCTGAGGTGCCTCTGGATGGACTCAAACAGCCAAGCTTTCAGTTAGCAGCTGAGAGAATTAACTGTTTGCACCACCCAGGGACTCTACTAGATTATAATTCTTTATAAATCCTTCTTTTGAGCAGTCAGTTGGTTCTTCCTCTTTGCTGTTGCTTAGTACGTGTTTCTATGGAGGAATTATTGCCCTGTTTTATAATAATTTGCTGTTTTATTTTACGTTGGTATGTGTGCCCAGCTAGACTGAGTTTCTCAAGGTTGTCGAAAATATTTTAAATGTCTTCGTGTCACAGATACAATGTCTGATGCCTAACAAGTATTCTATAGATGTTTATTGACAGATAAATTAATGAACTGGTAGATTGGTTGTTATGCCTAATGAACTGATAATGTAAACACCTCTATTAATGCTTGGCACGTGGTAGGCCTTTGATCCATACTCGTTTTGCTTTGACTGTTCTTTTTTCTTTATTATTTTTTTAATTTGGACTTTTTTTTTTAAGGTACCTTTAGTTGAACAGCTCTTCTGCAAAGAGTTCAAACCATTTTTGAAGAAATGGTATCGTACTATGGGATTAAGTGGTGATACCCAACTGAAAATATCGTTTCCAGAAGTTGTCAAATCCTATGATGTTATTATCAGTACAGCTCAAATTCTTGAAAACGCCCTTTTAAATTCAGAAAAAGGAGAAGATGCTGGTGTCCAGTTGTCAGGTTGGTTGAATATTTCTTTTTATAAAAAGAAGAATTAACAGTAAAATTAATGATAGTAATAGGGGCTGTAGTAAATAATTTAAAAGATATTAATAAAAAGAAAAAATAAATCTTGCTTTAGATTGTCTTTCATTGCTCTTTAAAATCCTTGTTCTGTTCCTTAGGGGAAACAAACTAAAAATTTGATAATAAGTTTTTAATTAGATCACTCTATTCTATATAAACCAAAAATACCAAACCTATTGCTGTTGAGTCGATTCTGACTCATAATGACCCTATAAGATACCATTGTTAAATCAATTACACACTAGACCTCCACTTACTTTTTATTTCTAGGTACTGAAAAATTCTTGGTATGTGCTATTGGATCTTGTTAGATCTGTTAGAATAAAAATAATATTCTTTCTGTTTTATGGGGGATGGGAAGAGAAGGGAGGAAGGATGAAGGGAGAGAAGTAAAAAAAAATTATAATAATTAAATGCAATGTTAAAACAAGGCAGAATTATCCCTCTTTAAATAGTGTGGTTTTCATGTGAAGGAATAAAATTAAAACATAAACCTGTTGCTATCGAATTGATTCCTACTCATAGAGACCCTATAAGACAGAGTAGAACTGCCCCATAGGGTTTCCAAGGAACGGCTAGTGGATTCAGACTGCCAGCCTTTTGGTTAGCAGCCGTAGCTCTTAACCACTACGCCAACAGGGCTCCAATGCATACCAACTTAAAATTAAATATTTAATTAAAGAACAAAAGTGTAATCCTGAGAGTTTTTGGAAATAAGCCAGGGTTTGAATTCCACCCCATAACACTTTTTAGCTCTATAAAATTTCTGAAACTCATCTATTAAACAGAGATGACATCTGACAGGGACATTTTTATGATTAATATATATGAACTTCTGTATGTGCAAGTTCCTAGTACAGTTGCATTTTCCTCCTGAAGAGTGACTGAGAGCTGTGCCAGTATCTGGCCCAAGAAAAATCCCAGCTCAGCTTAATAGGTTAAAGATATAGTTTGCTGGTATGGACAAATGAACCATTTGGATTTTCTTTTAAGACTTTTCCCTCATCATCATTGATGAATGCCATCACACCAACAAAGAAGAAGTCTATAATAACATCATGAGGCGTTATTTGAAACAGAAGTTGAAAAATAATAAACTCAGAAAAGAAAACAAACCAGCGATTCCTCTACCTCAGATACTAGGATTAACTGCTTCGCCTGGTGTTGGAGGGGCTACAAAACAAGAGAAAGCTGACGAACACGTTTTAAAAGTAAGCACTTAACTTTATATATAACCAGTAAAACCAAAGCTAAAACAAATACCAACGCTTCTTGGGTTTTTTTCATTAAAGTTGCATCCAGGTGCCGTGGAGTATACAGAAAGAACGTATTCTGTAATTATCAGTTAAGTGAAATCTGTTTGCTTCAACTGAAGTAAATATACTTAATCTTCTACAAAACTATAATATGCCTTAATAAGTAACTATGACATAGAACAATATCACAGAAATAAAATGCCCCTTTTTCAACATCTATTCTTATAGTTAAACTTAACGATGTATTTGATATAGAAATATGCATGAACTATGAGATTTTCTAGTTTTCACACATGATAAAGTGTTATTCTGTGAGTTTCAGAATTAGGAATTTTTTACTGTCTTTTCTGTTCTAAGTGATCCTCAGATTCTGGGTAAGTCAAGTTAACTGGAAAATGGAGCTATGAGAATCTTTAATTAAAGATGTATTACTTTTCAGCTGCCCTAAAAGGGTAACACCAAATAAAGTGCTGTTGATCTCAAGTGTTAAATGGATTCAGAGTAACTGAGAAAAATGCCAGCACCAAGGCAATTCATTTGTGTTTTCAGTCTCTTCCTTTGAGTTGAACTCGGCAACAATCATGTAGAATAGATAGCATTCAGAGGCTTGATTAGTGGCTCCAAGATAAAACTTATTACTAGAATTAAGGACTAGCTTCAGTCTAGAGCCAGCCACATGGGCATTCGCCGCTCCCAGCTTTGCACTGCCTTCTTTATATGTAGAACAGGGTGGCAGTATGATCCATGGATGTCAAGGTGACCTTTAATACGACTGATATAATATGGTTATCTTAGGAGAAGCATATTATAAGTTGATATCATAAGAATATGATATCTTATTCTCTGCCTGTCACTGCAGGTTGCTATATTCTCTCCATGTTGGGTTTTCTAGATGAAAAAAGAATTTCAGGAATGAAAATAAATGTCCTTTTTGGAATTACCCACTGATTTGATTTAGAATCTCTCCTAATAATGAAAAATGTTATTGGTTAAACAGATCCATGGAATAACAGTAGTAAAATACTATATTTAGCAAATAATGCTACGTATTTCTTACCTGAAAAAGATTTCTACATTGAATCAGTTGAACTGGAAAAGTAATTATTTGAATATTGAAAAATTATCTTTTTTTCTAGATATGTGCCAATCTTGATGCATTTACCATTAAAACTGTGGAAGAAAATATTGGTGAACTCAGAGCTCAAATAAAGGAGCCATGCAAGAAGTTTGCAATTGCAGATGACACCAGAGAAGTATGTACTTAAAATTTTATATTTATTTGATTGGTGATGCCATACTAAACTGAAAGATGATAAAGCCTATTTTATACCAATGAACTGAAGAACATTATTGCAAAATTTTAGCAGGAAAATTAGACTTTTATTCTTTTCTATTGATATTAGGCAGCAAAGCACTGCTATGTATTTTCTCCATCCTCCTTTTAGTTTTACAGCTTATGTGAAGTGTAGAGTAGCTCCCAGGGAGGGGAATGAGGCTTGTACAGCTAAACTAGAGGGATTACCATAGTTCTTTTTACTCTTTTCTACTTTTTCACTTTCTTGGTGAATTCCAAGATTGCTTTTCTGACATAACACACTACCAAAATCAGAAACATTTTGATGCTACCAGATTATAGTTGGCAATGTTAATGAGAATCCTACCTAATTTGCATATTTGCATATTTACTTTCTAACGAAAACACTGACATGATAAAGAAATGAAATATTTACTTTAATGGTGCTTTTGCAGTGAATGTTTTCACAGAGTATAAACACCAACTGAGAGTCAACTTGGACATTATGACTAGTACATTTTGACATTATTTTTCTTTTGTAGAATTTTAAAAGCGTGATCAATTTTAGCTGTATATACTTGATAATAACTTTAACCATTGAAATCTACCTCATAAGGATGTTAGAATTAAATGGCATAAGATACATGCTTAGATAATATTATGCTTGATATATAAGAGGCACTAACCCAATGTTAGTGACCAACCTCCATAGATTAATTTTTTCTGATATTTGGAAAAAGAGTATTATCTATTCCAGCTGCACTAGCACATTGAATACACTTTGTTTTTCTTTATTTTATGTTAGAAACATACATTTAAACATTTACATGATTAATTTAAATGTATATTTCTATTCATAATCATGAAAAACCCCCAGCATTTTCAGGATATTTTTAAAAAAGAATTTGTCATCCTACTCTTTAATTTACTTAATTTTTTAGTGAACGTTTTATTGAAGTATAGCATTCATGCAGAAAAATGCAAAATCATAAGTATATAGATCATTGACTTTTCATAAACTGAAAACACCTGTATTACCAAAATCCAGATCAAGAGATAGGACATTGCTAGCACCCCAGAAGCCCCTGGTGACCCCTTCCAGTCATCATCCTTAAAGGGGGACTACTATCCTGACTCCTAAAACCAAAGATGAGTTTTGACTGATTTTGAACTTATATGAATGGAATCATATCGCATGTACTCTTTTGTATCTGACTTTGTTCAAAACTCCACCTCTCAATTTTTTATTTTAGTCGAAATAATACTGAAGCCAGTGCTTCAAAGAGGAGTATTTCTTAAATTGGATTGTAGCCCTTCCAAATAATTACAACATGAATATGTTTTTCAAATTATCTTTAATATTCAAGGTTTATATCATTAATTAACTTTACTTTTTGAAACTTTTAAATTGGAAATTCCAGCAGGGATACATGGTGTTGGTGTGGGTGTGGATTGAAGGTGGAGATAAAAGAGAAGCTGACAAAAAACGAATGTACAAAGAGGTTATCAAAGATTATTTTTTTCACTTTCTCTAGACAAATACTCTGAATCAAATTGTTATAACAAATTATTTTTTAAAAGATAGTGTTATTCCTTTAACAATATAAGTATATAAAAATAAGTGTAATTTATTTTTAGGATCCATTTAAAGAGAAACTTTTAGAAATAATGACAAAGATTCAAACTTTTTGCCAAATGAATCCAATGTCAGATTTTGGAACTCAACACTATGAACAATGGGCCATTCAAATGGAAAAAAAAGGTAATTTGGGTTTTGACCGAACACTTATTTTAGTCCATGTTTGTGCCAAGATTTCAGATGATTATGTCAAGCAGATTGAAAGCAAATGGAATATCTGTGTTCTAAATAGACAAGGATAAACATGCTGTAATTCCTTATCTAAGAAAAGGAGCACCAATCCATCCATTTCTCTTTATCTTCAGTCTTTGGCTTATTGCATGTTTAAAATGCTAAAAAAAATACTAACAGCTATGTCTCCAAAAACAAACTCCCCTAATAGGTTTTTCATGTCATTCCTGAGTCAGCATGAATCAGGTATGTGTTTTTGCTGATGCAGCGTTCAAACAGCAAGTCTAGGAGTTGGACAACTGGCCTCCTCTTAGTTCTCATAGTACATTTTGAGCCTTAACTTACCCATTTCAAAATCAAGGTCAAGCAGATTTTAGAGACAGTGTTACAAACATGGCACAAATGGTGAAGCGCTCAGCTGCTAACCCAGAGGTTTAGTGGTTCGAATCCACTCAGAGACACAAAGACCTTGCAGTTTGCCTCCAAAAGGTGACAGCCACTGAAAACTCTGTGGAGCACCGTTCTACTCTGTAACCCATGGAATTGCCATGAGTTGGAATCGATTTGACGGCATCTGGTTTGTTTTGTTTTTTGTTATAAACATATTCATGTCCACAACACTATTTTAATGGTTGTGTTTACTCATTACCTCACTATATATAATATATTCTTTCATAGCTGCAAGAGATGGAGATCGCAAAGAACGTGTTTGTGCAGAGCATTTGAGAAAGTACAATGAGGCCCTACAAATTAATGACACAATACGAATGATTGATGCATATAATCATCTTGAAACTTTCTATAATGATGAGAGAGAAAAGAAGTTTGCGGTCCTAGAAGATGATAGTGATGAGAGTGGTGACGGTGATGATGATGGTGACAAAGATGAGGATGATGAAAAGAAGCCTTGGAAACTGGATGGGACAGATAGATTTCTCATGACTTTATTTTTTGGTAAGAATCGGTGTAACATTCATCACATGGTCTCATGTATTTACCTCTTTGGCACGAGCCTGCTGCTTCTCATAAGCTCCCCAAAGGCCCTATTAAAATATCGTTTTGAAAGAAGAAATTTCACTCACGGTGGGGCTATTTCTAACTGATGTGACCAGAGTAGCCATGAGTTATACGATCACAGTTGATCATTTGGTCATACAGTTTTATTGTCAAGATTATTGCAGTGAATTTATTTATTAAACCAGCCTGATTATTAGACAATACATAATTAACTGTCATTGAGCAAATTTCAGTGCATCATTAAATAAATATTGTAGTGTAATTACTTGTATATTTTGCTAATTTGACTATTTCTTAAAGAAAACAAGAGAATGTTGAAAAAACTGGCTGAAAACCCAGAGCATGAAAATGAAAAACTGATGAAATTAAGAAACACCATAATGGAACAGTATACTAGGACTGAGGGATCAGCCCGGGGAATAATTTTTACAAAAACACGACAGAGCGCATTTGCTCTTTCCCGGTGGATTACTGAAAATGAAAAATTTTCAGAAGTAGGAGTCAAAGCCCACCATCTGATTGGAGCTGGACACAGCAGTGAGTTCAAGCCTATGACACAGGTATGAACATCCTTTTGAACTTCTTTTTTACACTGTTGTTAGTTGCCATTGAGTCGACTCCAACTCATGGCGACCTTATAACAGAGCAAAATGTTACCTAGTCTTGTGCCATCTTCATAACTGTTGATGCATTTGAGTCCATTGTTGAGGTAGCTCTTCCCCAGTTGTATTTTGAGTGTCTTCCAACCTAAGAGGCTCGTCTTCCAGCACTACATTTGACAATATGCTGTTATAATCCATAGAATTTTCATTGGCTAAATTTTAGAAGTGGTTCATCAGGCCTTTCTTTTTATTCTATCTTAGTCTGGAAGTTCTACTGAAACCTATCCACCATTTGAAATACTGGTGGGATAGCTTCCAGCATCATAACAACATGCAAGCCACCATGGTAGAACAAATTGGTAGATGGGTTTTAGATGATATTATTACCCTTTGTCAATTAGCTTTATCAATTCCCTGACCACCTGACAAATAATTATTATAGAATAAAATGCTTGTTGAAATAAATTTGAATTTAATAACAATCTAATCTGTGGCATTTGATAGGCCAAACACTGACCTAGGAATCATTTTTTTTTTTTCACATACTTGGATGAACTTCCTAAATTTCTTTGGCAATTTCTAAATTTCTCTTGCAAAAAAAAAACCTTGACATTTTAGTAACAAAATGGAGAAATATTTATCAAGTGGAAAAATCAGAACCCCTCCCCCCAAAAAAACCTCTGTACATTATGATATTGTTGTTAGTTGCTATCGAGTAGATTCGTACTATGGGACCCATGTGTACAGAGTAGAACTGCTCCATAGGGGTGTCAAAGCTGTGATCTTTCAAAAGCAGTTTGTCAGACCTGCCTTGAAAGGTGCTTCTGGGTGGGTTCAAACTGCCAACCTTTTGGCTAGTAGTCAAATGCTTAACCATCTGTGCCACCCAGGAACTCACATTATGATAAGACCTATATAAAATATATTTTCTAGGATGAGACCTACAAAGGACTTGGAAAAAGTAAAATATTTGATGTGTTAGCTGTTTGGGATTATGGGAGATTTTCTTTTCAAGGGTTTTTTTTTCCCCCATGTTATTATATATTGTGTGTACAGTAAAAAAAAAAAAAAAATTACTTCGGAGAGAAAAAATAGGCACTTACAGACAGTACAAGCATGAGTGAAACAACAATGGCTTATTGGAGTAAATGTCCTTCTGAAGCCTAATGTAATTTTGACCCGAAGTATTGTTGGACAAGGAGACACTTTGATTCTGTTATGGTCACCATCATTCAGGCCATCAGGATTTGAATTTCTGCCTATGCCCCAGTAAGGTCCTCTAAATCTATATTTCATTGATTTTAAGACACCGTAGATTTTAAGACATATCTCAATATCAAGGATGGTCAAAATGTGCATCTTAGAACTCATGAGATATGGTACTTCTTGTTATTATTTGCTTGCTTCTTCTTTTCAAATTGTAGGCTGAACTAGAGAGAAGGGCAGAGCTTGCTTTATCCTGTTTTTAATTTATAAAGGCATACCCACCCACTGCCGACAAGTTGATTCTGACTCATGGTAACCCTACAGGACGGAGCAGAACTGCCCCATAGGGTTTCCAAGGCTGTAAATTTTTATGGAACAGACTGCCACATCTTTCTCCCACAGAGTGGCTGGTGGGTTCTAACTGCTGATACATATTTTACATATATATTTATATAACTTTATGTGCCTTTACGAGGAGCCCTGGTGATGCAGTGGTTAAAGCACTTGGCTGCTAACCGAAAGGTCGGCGGTGAGTACACACACACACACGTATATGTATATGTCCCTGGGTGGCACAGACGGTTAAATGCTCAACTGTTAGCTGAAAGGTTAGTGGTTCAAACCCATCCAGAGGCACCTTGGAAGACGGACCTGGTGATCTGCTTCTGAAAGGCCATTCTCTTGACAACCCTATGGAGCTGTTCTACTCTGCACACATGAGGTCATCATGAGTCAGAACAACTCAAAGGCAACTGACAACATTTTGTGTGTGTGTGTATATATACATATAAAAGAGCCTCGGTCCTTCATTTGCATCAGGACCCTGCTCAACTATCACCTCATCAGAGTCCTTCCCTGATCACCTTCTGTAGACTAGCGGACCAGCTGCTCTCTCCCACCACTGTCTGTTATCTCCCTCACCCTGCTTTCTCCTTAGCACTTACTGTCACCTGAAAAAAAATTACATTTACTTGTCTCACATCCAAAAAAAAAAAAAAAAAACCCATTGCTGTTGAGTCAACTCCAACTCACAGCCACTCTCCCACAGAGCTACTGGTGGGTTTGACCACTGACCCTTTTGTTAACAGCTGAGCTCTTAACCACTGTGCCACCAGGGCTCCTCTGTCACACCACTAGAAAGTAAACTACATGAAGTCAGGAACTTGGTTTCATTTTACTGCTGTATCTCAACTTCTAGTAATAAGAATAGGCACTCCATAAAGGCATGTGTAGGAACTCCACAAATATTTACTGAAAAATGAATAAAAGTCTAGGGACTGTTCAACCCAAATACTCCCTAAGATTGTTAAGTTTTAAACTTCAGTGAAATTAAACCACTAGCTACCACTGACTTGTATCATATTACTGCTGCCTCTTAAAAAATCAAATTTGTGAGTCAGAATCAACAAGATGGCAACGGGTTTTTTTTGTTTGGTTGGTTGGTTGGTTTTGGTTTTAATATTATGATTTTGCTTTTTTTTAAATCTGGTCTCAGAGCAAATTAAATCTGTTTTAATGTTTGTGGAAAAAAGATTTCTTGAATTTTTCCACTATGACTCAATACTTCATTTTAAAGTTGCTTTTAAAATTTAGTACCAGTGAAAGCATTATCTTCCTTGGATAATGAGTTTGTGTCCTCCTTTTGGATGAGAACTAGTTTAAATAATGTTTCCCTTTTTGCCCTGGCTTCCAGGAAGCTCACAGGTAAAACTGAAGTTCAGTCTCACAGCAACTGTGTTAATCCTTACAAGTAATACATCTACACTCTATCTTTTGGTCTTGTTTTTTAGATTCTATTATATTAGCTTTAGCATTGTATATGGCCTCAGATCCTCTTTGAAACAAGGCAGGATGCAAATGAAAAGTATGTTTCCAAGCTCCAGTCTGTTCTTATCCATTTCAAACTTGGGGGCTTCATGGCAAACTATAGAGCACATTCCTTCCTCACTCCCCACACCCCCATCTTGTAAACTGAAGTGGATTTACAAATTAGGGGAGGGTTAGGCATCTACTTGATGTGATTTGAGGGCCTGACACTGTGTCTGAAATTTTCATTATTAGAGTTACTCTCTTGAAATAAGGCACTGACATCTTCTGCTAAAATCCAAGGCCGTGCAAGTTTTTCTCAGTGGAAGTGAGGGCAGGAGGGAGAGATTATCAGGGAAGACCCTAGAGGAGCCTTATGGCTCGGTTACGCTAACATTTAAGAGTCCAGTACAAACTCATGCTGCTTCTGAGAAGAAAAGGGCAGGAGTTGGGAAAATGCATTGTCAATCTGGCATGTTTATTTTTGTGTAATATATGAGGGCCAGAGATAGGGTGGATGTGCACCAAAGGCTGATTGGGGCAATGGCCTTGATGGGAGTGTTTAGGAGAATAAAACTACACTGGCCGTAGCGGGCTATTTTTATGCTCACTCATTCTTCCTGTGCAAGGGCCAGAGTGCATATTTTAGTTTCTCTATTTACATTAACTTTCAGAATTCATATATTTTTATTTAAGATACTTGTTTTAATTGTGTTTTTCATAACCCATTCTTAATATCATTTTTAAAAATTTCATTCAGAACTGTTAAGGTACAAGGGCACACCCCTGTCCTCCAGTCTTCTAGCTCCTCTTCCGGGAGGCAGCCAGTGTTTTCAGTGTCTCTTGTGTCTTTCCAGGGATATTGTGTTTCCTGCTTGAATGACTCTTCAAGTGACCAAATGTGAAATTCAGTTTGCATTTTCCTCTGTGACTCAAAATTCAACAGTCTGTAAAAATATAACTTCATCTTAGCCTTTGACTATTAAAGATTGCAAAGTTTATGTAGTGAAAAGAAAGGCCCATTTTAGCTTCTCATTGCCATCTTGTCTACACATCTGAAAACATCTCCTCCCTTTCTTCCTCCCAAGTCACCCATCAGTTTATTTCCTTGGCATGAAGGATGGTCTTCCAACCTCCAGACTGGAGGATGGAAATATTTTTGTTATTGTGTGGTAATCCCAGATTGGAAATCAAATGTTGTCTCACCATCGTGTCTTTGCTCAATGCCAAAAACAGATGGCAGCAAATCCGTGTATGATCTAATCCTTTGATTTACACTGACCAGTTGCAATTTATTATTTCATCTCCTAATTAGAAGAATTTTAATGTGTTTAGCCTCACAAAATTTAATTTATTAAAATGTTTCTACAGAATGAACAAAAAGAAGTCATTAGTAAATTTCGCACTGGAAAAATAAATCTGCTTATCGCGACCACAGTGGCAGAAGAAGGTCTGGATATCAAAGAATGCAATATCGTTATCCGCTATGGTTTCGTCACTAACGAAATAGCTATGGTCCAGGTACATTCAGATAATTCTAATATGCTAATGCTTACTTTTCTTATTTAATTGCTTTCATTTAAGTCAAGGAGCAAAAAACATCTTTTTAGTTTTAAATATATATTTTTTTTCCTGCTAAAAGAGCAGTTCTGAAAAATTGTGCACTACTGCCTTTTTTCTTGTTGCTTGATTCATATGACAAGCAGGTTTTTTTTTTTTTAAACAACTCCTTTGGTTGTTATTTCTGTGTCCTAAAACTTTGGACCCATTTGTAGGGGCAAAAAGAGTCCTCCTCATTTCTAGGGTGTCTGTGTGAGCCCCAACTGGGCTTGGAATCTGAACCATCACGTCTCATAAATGTCTGACAAAAGTAACACACCCAAACCTTAGGGAACCCTGCTATTTCTTTTTCTTTTTTTTTTTTTTTGCATATTTTACTATGTTTTAGGTGAAAATTTACACAGCAAATTAGATTCATACACAATGCATACACAAATTGTTCTGTGACATTGATCACAATACCTACAATGTGTCAGCACTCTTACCATTTCCACCTCCTATCCAACTTCCCTGCCCTTCTTTGCCTTCTCATCTTTGCTTTTGGGTAACTGTTGATCATTTGGTCTCATATAGTTGATTGTTTAAAGGAGCACATTCTTCACAGGTGTTACTGTTTATTTTATAGGCCGATCTATTATTTGGCTGAAAGGTAACCTCCGGGAGTGGCTTCGGTTCCAGGTTAAAAGGGTGTCTTAGGGTGATAGTCTCAGGGGGTCCTCCAGTCTTTATCATTCCAGTAAGTGTAGTCATTTTTATGAATTTATGTTTTGTTCTACATTTTTCTCCCATTCTAACCAGGACCTTGTATTGTGTCACTGGTCAGAACAGTTGGTAGTGTTAGCCGAGCTCCATCTAGTTCTCCTGGTCTCAGGCTAGAAGAGGCTGTGGTTTATGTGGGCTGTTAGTCCAGTGGACTAATTTCTTCCTTGAGTCTTTGGTTTCTTTCACTCTCCTTTGCTCCAGACGGAAAGAGACCAATAATTGTATCTTAAATGACTGTTAGCTTTTAAGACCCCAGACACCACTCATCAAACTAGGGTGTAGAACATTATCTTTATGAACTAAGTTATGCCGGTTGGCCTAGATGTCCTCTGAGACTATGGTCCTGAGCCTTCAAACCCAGTAAATCAATCCCATAAAGTGTTTGGATATGTCTAGGTAATATCCATAACTGTGCCCCTCATGTGCTTTATTGTATGTATGAATATATATGCAGCACATACAAATATGTATATACGTATACCCACAGATACATTTATATATACATGTGCATGTACTCCCATACACCTTCCCACAGCGATATAGCATACATATCTACCTATGTAACTACTGATGTTTTTGTTTGTTATTACTATTATTGCAAAACTGTGTATGTTATAGCATTTACTGTAGTTGTTCTTTATTCTTGCATACCTAAAGTTGTGCTGACTTCCCCCATATTGTGTATTACCTTCCTCAATGTCTGTTCATGTCATTGCTCTTCTGTTTCTAGGATATATACCTAGGAGTGGGATTGCTGGATCATAAGGTATTTCTATTTCTAGCTTTTTGAGGAAGAGCCATACAGTTTGCCATAGTGGTTGTACCATTTTACAGTCTCACCAGCAGTGTATAAGAGTTCCAATCTCCCCACAACTTCACCAACATTTGTTGTTTTCTGTTTTCTTAATCAGTGCCATTTTTGCAGGGATGAGATGGTATCTCATTGTAGTTTTGATTTGCATCTCTCTAATCGCTAATGATCACCCACATCTCTTCATGTGTTTGTTAGATGCCTGAATGTCTTCTTTGGTGAAGTATCTGTTCATACCCTTTGCCCACTTTTTTATTTGATTGTCTTTTTGTTGTTGTGTTGTTGAAGTTTTATATATATTTTAGAGATTAGACTATTGTCTGATATGTTGTTGCCAAAAAAATTTTTCCCAGTCTGAAGGTTCTCTTTTTATTCTTTTGGTAAAGTCTTTTGATGAGCATAAGTATTTAATTTTTAGGTGGTCCCAGTTATCTAGTTTATCTTCTGTAATTAGTGCATTTTTAGTTGTGTTTGGCAGTGTATTTGTGTCCAAAATTATGATCCCTAGTTTTATCCCTGTATTATCTCCCAGGAAATTTATAGTTTTAGCTTTAACATTTAGGTCTTTGATCCATTTTGTGTTAGCTTTTGTATATAGTGTGACATATGGATTCTGTTTCATTTTCCTACAAATGGATATCCAGTTTTGCTAGCACTGTTTGTTAAAGAGACTGTCTCATCTCCATTGAATGGACTTTGACCATTTGTCTAAGATCAGCTGTCTACAGATGGATGGATTTACTTCTGGGTTCTCAAGTCTGTTCCATTGGTCTGTGTGTTTGTTATTGTATGAGTTCCAGGCTGTTTTGATTACTGTGGCTGTATAGTAAGTTCTGAGATCAGGAAGTGTGATGTCTCCTACTTTGTTCTTCTTCCTTAATATTGCTTTAGCTATCCGGGGCCTGTTTCCTTTCTATATAAAGTCGGAGATTAGTTTTTCCATTTCATTAAAGAATGTTGTTGGGATTTGGATCCAGATTGCATTATATTTATAGATCATTTTGGATAGTGTTGATGGTCAAGGTTGTGTGTCAACTTGGTTGAGCCATGATTCTCAGTGGTTTGCCAGTTATTACATAGTTTGGCAGCTATGTAATGATGTAATCACTCTCCATATGGAGATCTGAAATAATATCACCTCCATGATGAGATCTGCTATAAGCAGCCAGTCGGTTGAAAGGGAGTTTCCTTGGGGGTGTGGCCTGCATCCAATATATGTGGACTTTCTGGCAAAGCTTGCAGGCTTTTGCTCTCTTTTTGGATCCTGCATCCGGCTGGTCATCTGACCGCTGGTTCTGGAGACTTGAGCTAGCAGCTTACCTGCTGATCATGGGATTTGTCAGGCTCCACAGTCTGTGAGCCAGAAGCCTGCCATCTGGCCTGGCAATCTTGGGTTCATCAGCCCCTGCAGCTACATGAGTCAGGAGAAGCCTTTAGCCTGACCCACAGACTTGGGACTGTTCAGCCTCTACAACTGTGTGAGCCATTTCCTTGATATCTCTCTCTCTCTCTCTCTCTTTCTAAGTCAAACCAGTGAAACATATATATAGATACATGTTTCACTGGTATGGCTTCTCTAGAGAACTCAGCCTAAAATGGGTAGTATTGATACTTTCACAATGTTACATCTGCCAGCCTATGAGCATGGAATGTTTTTCCCTTTATGTAGGTCTCTTTTGGTTTCTTGCAGTAGTGTTTTGCAATTTTCCTTGTATAAGTCTTTTACTTTCCTGGCGCCATGGATTGAATTGTGTCCCCCCAAAATATATGTGTATCTATTTTGCTAAGCCATGATTCCCGGTATTGTGTGATTGTCCACCATTTTGTCATCTGATGTGATTTTCCTATGTGTTGTAAATCCTGCCTCTATGATGTCAGTGAGAGGGGATGGGCAGCAGTTGTGTTGATGAGGCAGAACTCAGTCTAGGGGATTGGATTGTGTCTTGAGCCGGCTTCTTCTGGGATATAAAAGAGGGAAGTGAGTGGAGAGACAGGGGGACCTCATACCACCAAGAAAGCAGTGCCAGTAGCAGAGTGCATCCTTTGGACCCGGGGTTGCTGCATGGAGAAGCTCCTAGTCCAGGGGAAGATTGATGAGAAGGACTTTCCTTCAGAGCTAACAGAGAAAGAAAGCCTTCACCAGGAGCTGATGCCCTGAATTTGGACTTCTATGCCTACTTTACTGTGAGGAAATAAAGTTCTCTTTGTTAAAGCCATCCACTTGTGGTATTTCTGTTACAGCAGCACTAGATAACTAAAACACCTGGTTATAGTTATTCCTAGGTATTTTATTCTTTGGGGCACTATTGTAAGTAATATTGTTTTCTCAATTTCCTTTTCAGAGTTCTCATTAGTATAGAGGAATCCATCTGATTTCTGTGTGTTGATCTCATACCCTACAACTTTGCTGAACCCTTCTATTAGTTCCAGTAACTTTCTTATGGAATCTCTGAATTTTCTATGTATAGGATCAAGTCATCTGTGAATAGGGGTAGTTTTACCTTTTCCTTATCAATTTGGATACCCTTTATTTCCCTTTCTTGCCTTATTGCAATGGCTAGGACTTCCAGTACAATAGTAAATAAGAGTGGTGATAATGGTAATCCTTGTCTCATTCCCATTCTCAAGGGTGATACTTTCAATCTCTGTTCAGAATAATGTTGGCTGTTGGTTTTATGTATATACTCTTAATTTTGTTGAGGAATTTTCCTTCTATTCCTGTTTTGCTGAGTTTTTATCAAGAAAGGGTGTTGGATTTTATCAGAAGTCTTTTCTGCATCAATTGAGATGAACGTGTGATTCTTTTCCTTTGTTTTATTTATATGGTGAATTACGTTGATTGATTTTTGTTGAACTGTCCTTGCATCCCTGGTATGAATCCCACCTGATCACAATGTATTAGTTTTTGATATGCTATTGTATTCTGTTGGCTAGAATTTTGTGGAGAATTTTTGCATCTATATTCATGAGGGATATTGGTCTGTAATTTTCTTTTTTTGCATTATCTTTGCCTGGCTTTGGTATCAGGGTTATGCTGGCTTCATAGAATGAATTAGGTAGTATTCCTTCTTTTTCTGTTCACTGGAATTGTTTGACCAGAGTTGGTGTCATCTCTTCTCTGAATGTTTGGTAGAGTTATTCAGTGAAGCCATCTGGGCCGGGGCTTTTTCTTTTCTTTTTTTTTTTGGTTGGGAGTTTTTTTTAATGACATCTTCAATTTCTTCGTTTGTTGGGGGTCTGTTTAGATTTTCTACCTCTATTTGTGTTAGTTTAGGTAAGTAGTGTGTTCTAGAAAGTTATCCATTTCTTCTAGGTTTTCAAATTTGTTGGAGTACAATTTTTTGTAATATTATGATCCTCTTTATCTCAGTTGGTTCTATTATGTCAC